ATTTTTACTGAAATCACTTGTCCCTCTCATAGAGTATTAACCAGTCAGATATAAGTAACACGAAGCACTGTTTATCTTGCCCACATACCTGTATCTCGAATTCATAAACATAACTTATAAGCGTAATATAAACTTTCTTTGTGCATGTCTCTGTGTAACCTTAGAGGTTTTAGACATATTTCTGTGATTTCAGCATACTGAATGAGAAGAAACTGTAGCAACTTCATAACTTTTGGCTTCTGAATTCATCTGTCAGAATCCCTTAATCTTCTCAAGATTTGAAGGGATTGCTTTCTCTCATTAGTTTGGATTCAAAGAGGGCAAACAACTGTGGAAACAGTGATTTATGGGGCCTTTGAAGTATATGAGAATTTCTAGTAATTACTGATAGCTAAGTTGATACAACAGTTAAGCCTGTGCCACAAGTCTATGGCTCCTAGAGCTATCCAGCCTCTGGTTTGCTTGGTTGGTAACCTGTACAATACTTCCCGGGTCCTCTTCTCACCTTGTAGGAAACTTCAGAAAAGGTTTGTACTTATCAGTACTCACTTTTTCTCTAAGTTGCAGGAATCAAACAACCTCCCAATCCTTTAGCAGGCCACAGAAACTGTGGCAATGCTTCACTAATTCAACAAAGCCTAATTAAACAAATGTTTATCATGGATTCCTATAAATAACATTTTAGTTCTCTCACTATTAAAAGCAAACTGATAAGATTTCATTTGAAGTGTGGAGAGGGAGAAGGAGAATGGGTTTTAAATAATTCTGTGTCTGGATAGACAGAGTACAGTTTTGAACTTTAAGTCTAAAATGAGTTTAGTTCCAATTGTATTAGACATATGAAACTAAATTACTGATTTTTTTTTTTAATGATTTATGGTGACTTATAGACCTTGAAATGTTTTTCAGACATTATTTTATTAACTTTAAAAAAAAAGAAGACAATTTTGTTTTATCTTGCCTGTAAAATATATTTATAAGCAGAGAAGTTAAGGAACTTACTTAGTATGCAATTACTAATCAGGTATACTGCTTCTATTACTGACATTTAAAAAGCAAACTATTCAGGGCCAGCCCGGTGGTGCACTGCTGCAGTGCGCCGCTTGGGAGCGCAGCGGCGCTCCCACCGAGGGTTCGGATCCCACATACAGACCGGTTCCCGCTCACTGGCTGAGCGAGGTGCGGGCGCAACACCGAGGGTCGCAATCCCGTTGCCAGTCCCGGTCCGGTACGGGCGCGACACGGAGGGTTGCGATCCGTTGCCGGACACGAAAAAAGACCAAAAAAAAAAAAAAAAAAGGATAAAAAGTAAACTATTCTGCCTCAATTAGCAATGCTGTCACACAAGCTTCAGCTGTGAGGTATTTATTTCATTAGATCATCTCCCTATATGCTAGGCAGCAAAATAAGGGGAGACCAATAAATATTCCTAAAATCACAGGAAAAGTCCTTTGCATTGGAATAGATAAGGAGCCGTGAGGGGATTGATTCTCCTCCCCTTAAATCTTTGTCTACAGAGAAATACAATACAAGCCAGAAGTAAGACTGCATGATAATAATAGTTCTCTTAGCTCTAACAACTTCCTGAAAACTAGAAAATGGTAATTCAGTAAATCAGACTTAAAAGGAAATAAAACCATACGTGGTATCTTACAAGAAGAAAATAAAGTTTAAAACCAAATCTATATTGTCTATATTCCACTGTAGTTATATGTATGAATCATTATCTTTTACTTATATCAAGTATATTGGGCTCTGATATTTAACTTTCACAATTTTTTCCTATTACAAAAATTGATATCTCTGAATTTTTTTTTTATATTTGTAGGACCAAACCATAATCAAAATTGCTAATCCACAGACTAGTCATCTGAGAGAAATTTTCAAATAAGAATCACATGCTTCCTCAAAATACAGACTTAATACCTGTCAGTAAATGTCTGTGTTCAAATCCTATCACATCCTATTTCTCCTATGATGACTATTCACGACATTACTCCTCAATATTACTGCAGATAAGCCAGAAAAACTATGTTGCCTTTGATGTCTTTGTTTATATAGAAAACTAGTCCTGGTCTTCATTTTTCTTGATGCTACTATCATAAACTAAAGGAAAAGGGTAAATAAAAGTTGTAAGACTGCCATTTGGGCAGATGAGAATTGGTAGCCATATTTCCTCACTATGTTATAACCATACTCATAGGATCACATTCTTTAAACACTGGATCAATTATCAGGGCAATTTATCTCTCCTGTAAATAAACTAGTAAGTTGCATTTATGCAGATGCAATAGGTTGTACCTAGTGCTAAACAATGTCACTTTTACGTATCACAGAACTATATGAATATTATTTATGAGATCCCTTTTGATAAAAAGACAATGTTTTACATTCTGAAGAAGTCTATAAAGAAATGGTAATAATGGATCTCAAAAGTCTCAGATAAAAAACATACCCTAAAGCATGCTGGCATTGAAAAAACCCATTTAGCTGGGATATTTAATCTGGGAGTTAATGTAAGTTCTTTAAATATCTCCTCTAATTATATAACACTAAATGCATTAGTATCATATTTTACTCAGGATGTGTTAAGCTGGAAAATACACATCACATAACAGTCTAAAAATTAAATTTTTAACATGAAAATAACCTGGGTTTCCACAAAAATTAATTTGAATATATTCTGTTAACTTCCACTTTTGTTAGAATTTTACTTCAGATCAGAATTATCAAAATGATCAAGATTAGATACTATTTAACTTACCTCATAAGAACTTGGAAGTTTTAGTTTTAAACTTAGAAATTTTTTGATAGTTCCCACAGTTACACGTGTAGAACATCGAATGAATTTCTTCATTAAACCCTAAAGGAAATAAAGATTACTAATTAAAATATCCTACTGAAATAGGAGGTGCTCAGTTACCCTGGGTTCAGGTTTTAGGACATGCCTCTGGGTTTCCAGCCACTCCCCTAGAGGAAAGTTACTGTTGCCAGTTAGAACTATTTTAAGCACCAACAGGGGAAAATGAGACCACAAGGGGTTGGCGTATGCAAATCCAGTGGCTAGGAATGTTCAATAGAGAAGGGTTATATAACCCTGTTGGCTGAATGACCTTCCACTAGAGATCCTAAAGAGCACAGAAGATTCTTGAAGATGTCTGCTGCATGTGACAGGATTTGAACAATGAACATCATGCAAGAAGAGACCAACTAAGCATGTGCAAGACTAATGTTACACAAGGGGGACCACCCCCTTAATTGAATATTCATTAGATGGCAAAACTATAAAAGCAGGAGGTGACGCTGTTGCTCATTCGCCTGATGCCAGCCCCCACTCTGCCTGTGGAGTGTGTATTTCTTTTTGTATCAAACTTACTTTCAGCAAGCGCTGCTCATTCTCTTAAGCCAGCCTGCATTCTGTACTGAGCTTTAACTTCTTGCTTTTGTGTTAAACTTGGTGTGGGCCCTGCTCAGTCTCTGGAGCTATGATGCACTCTGTCTGTGGAACATGTATTTCTTAGCTGTTATATTAAATTTGCTCTCACTTTTTACCGTGACTCTGCCCTTGAATTCTTTCCTGTGGTGTAGTTAAGAACCTGGTAAGAGAATGGGGTAGTCAAGGCCAACTCTTGGGTCCCCAGACCCTACCTCTTGACATCACTACTTTGCTTTTAAGGAAACCATAGGTACCATTTCCACTATAATTCTGAGTATTTTCAAAATGTATTGTTAAAACAACTCAATTACAGCTCTTTAGTGGTTGTGAATAAAAATGTTCCTAATTCTTGATACTTACATGACATTCTTCAAGTATGTATGATCATGTATACTAGGAAAATCCTGGCAAATAGACAATCTGCTTACCTCTAAACATTTTGGTAAAGAAAACATTATGAGTTTAGGTAAAAATAACAAAAAAGTCCATAAAAAGCATTTATATATTTTATTA